TTGCTCTCTGTTTGGAAGCAGTGGTCTCTCTGCAGAGGTCCCAACAGGCCAGAACTCAAATTCCTCCCTCATGGAGTCAAACCTCGAGATCTCCAGGCTGCAGGGAGATAGCGGTGTAGGTCTGATTCTAACGATGGGGCCCTATTCCTCCCACCGACGCCAGCGATGGGTCCCTATTCCTCCCACCGACAGGGCCCTATTCCTCACACCGACGCCAGCGATGGGTCCCTATTCCTCCCACCGACGGGGCCCTATTCCTCCCACCGACGCCAGACATGGGTCCCTATTCCTCCCAACGATGGGTCCCTATTCCTCCCACCGACGGGGCCCTATTCCTCACACCGACGCCAGCGATGGGGCCCTATTCCTCTCACCGACGCCAGCGATGGGGCCCTATTCCTCTCACCGACGCCAGCGATGGGGCCCTATTCCTCCCACACATGACCCCTACACAGAAGGATATGTCTTCCTGTTATAGGACACACTTCCTGTTATGGGGCGACAACATTCTCGGAAGTGTGCTTGTGTGTTGTCATCCTGTCACATACACCCCCGACCCCGGTGGAGACTACACATGGCTGCGGCTGCACACAGCTCATGCACGGTCCACCGTTGTCACCATCAGGAAGCCAAAAGACAAGAAAGGCTTTTCCTGGTGCAGATCAGTTTTATTCAACAACAAGGTAAAATATAAATTGACGGGTAGTCACAAAGGTGGATTATCAACAGGCATGTAGAACAGTGCAAAGACCGGGCCGAAGATGCAGGCAGCAGCAGTCTGTATGATACGTCCTATGTGCCTGTTGATAATCCACCTTTGTGACTACCCGTCAATTTATATTTTACCTTGTTGTTGAATAAAACTGATCTGCACCAGGAAAAGCCTTTCTTGTCTTTTAGTGATCCCAGTCTCCCTGACTGTCTTGGGGCTGCTTCCTGCATAGATGCCAAAACATTAAGCTCTCTATGAGAGACTGTGTATGAGCTACCTCTGGCGCTTCCTAATACACCACCATCAGGAAGCCAGTCCAGAGCAATGATGTGCAGCCGATTCTGGAGCGAGTGCATATAGACAGGAAGAGGCTGCATGAGATCAGCAGCATTGAGACCGGTAAAAGAAGCTGCAACTGTGTGTTTTAGATTTACTTTTAATACCAATGCCGCTTGTGTACCGATCTCTTTCATGGATTGTTCTCGGCTGGCCTCAAACCAGGGGGAGGCAACCTCGGCACTCCTCCGTCCTTGATAATTTTGGCATTATTAAAGGAGAACTATGAGGGGGGGCGGGGGGGGGTGCTTTTCACTCACCTCATAGTTCTAGCCGACCTGCGCTAATGAGACTGTCACAGGTCGGCTCAGGAGATCGGGAAGTGAGGGAACACATTCCGGCGTTCGCTCACCTCTCGATCCTGTCACAACTCTCTGCCGTGACAGGGGAGGGGCTGGATTCCCCGCTCCGATCTGCCAGCGCTGACTGGCGGAACGGAGGGGGCGGGTACAGCTGGCTCTGCCTCTAGATAGGCAGAGCCAGCTGTCACTCACGCAGCTGGGCGGATCCAGACATAATTGTCGGGATCCGTTTCAGCTGCGGCGTCTCAGTATAACGCAAGCTGTAGCTCCCTATATACTGAGCTTAGGGTGACGGGAGGACGCTAGTTTCTGTCCTCCCGTTACCCTAAGGAGAACTATGGGGAAAAGCCCTGACCTCATAGTTCTCCTTTAAGCTGGACTTTTTAGGCATCACCACGACCAATTTATGATTAAAAGAAAAGAACAATTTTCTTGAATAATCATAAAAACATTTGAACCATTTGCCCAAATATACAGATCACCTCCAATAGCTTTGTTTCAAAATGTAGAACATCCAAAATTCATAATATTTACACCATTTGTATTGAAGATTTGTGTCCATATTTGGAGGGATATGAAACGGCCCGACGCATTTCAGGGTCAGCCCGACGCATGATCAGGAGCAAACATGGGCAAAACTAAAACGCTGTGTACATGAATGAGTTGATCATCTCAGAATCTGTGGCATCCATCAGTCCAACCAGTAGCGCGGCCGGCCAGTATTGCTGGGAGTCCGCCTTATATGTCCACCGCCGCCGGCTTGCTCACCCCCAACAGTGAGGTCAGGCGTGACGCTCCGGCGGCAGGGAGGTTGAGTGCGCATGCACCAGGGTGCATGCATGCGCGCACATCAAGGCAACCCAAACGCACCAACAGATGAATCCTGCCTATCCTCCCTCCCACTATCAACCCAATGGCCCCCCCAACCAAAACCAAAGGGGGCGGATGAGGAGGGAGGAAAAAGCCAAAAGATCTCGGGCACAAGGGGGAGCGGATACCTGGGACGGGTCACAACATATACCTCCAGCACCCGTCTATTCATGCAGCTAGCACCGGCATCTGAATTCTTTAATGATAGTAGATATAGTATAAATACAAACTAAGCATAGCTACACTTAATTGTAGGTCTGCTTCTGATAACAATATATACATTAAAGACTTAGTACAGTACGTACTATTCCATAATGATATAGGACTACCAGGAGGAATAATATAATCAGCATGTAAATGAAATTCCACCGCACCCAGGTCAGGGCATAAGTATAGACAGAGCAATGTGATTCCATGCATAGATGGACTGACAGACTCACAGATTATATTATAATATAGACTACATACATATTCATAGAAATATACAGGAAGGAAGGAATGGAAAAATCCTCTCCCAAAGATGCCTCCGAGCGGATTATTGCAGAAATGTTTGTTCTTTCGGACCCGGCGGTGAAATGGCATTTCATTGATAAATCCATCTGGATTCACTTTGCAAAATCTCCTTCCCATATACACTATATTACCAAACGTATTGGGCCCCTCCCCCCTCCAAATCATTGGATTCGGGTGTTCCGTGACATTTCCTGGCCACTAAATATTCTGCGGTCACCTGTTACTGGTATTATAACTAAGTGGAAGCAACCGGAAACAACAGCAACTCAGCCAGGAAGTGGTCGGCCGCGTCACATGACAGAGCGGGGTCAGAGCATGCTGAAGCGCACAGTGCGCAGAAGTCGCCAACTGTCTGCAGAGCCAATAGTTACAGACCTCCAAACTCCATGCGGCCTTCAGATTGGCACAACAACAGTGCGTAGAGAGCTTCATGGAATGGGTTTCCATGGCCGAGCAGCTGCATCCAAGCCGCACATCACCAAGTGCAATGCAAAGCGTGGGATGCCGTGGTGTAAAGCGCGCCGCCACTGGACTCTAGGGAAGTGGAGACGTGTTCTCTGGAGTGACCAATCAACCGCATGGCGGTTGCCATGAGAACGGTACTTGCCTGACTGCATGGTGCCAAGTGTTACGTTTGGTGGAGGCAGTGGCGTAACAACCGGGTGGGCAGCAGGGGCGCGGGCCCCGGGCGAAAAGTGAAGGGGGGCGCTGGCCGAAAATGGCACTTTCGGCTAAATGCCGAAAGTGACATTTTCCTGCCGTTTTGTCGGCGCATGGATGCCTTCCCAGAAGAGGCGGAGCTGTTATAGCGGCAAAGGGCGGAGCCAACCCAATACCGATATAGTGGGAGGAAACGATGGCCGGGCGCTATTCCTCCCACTGACACCAATAGTGAGGTATAGTAATTTGGCCCCTTTGTTTAGAAAGTTTGATGACCCCTGCACAGAAGAATATGCGTGCGCGCCATCACATATACAAGCACATTGCAGCGCATGTAATGCACACACGTAGATCTGAATGACCCCTCACAGTCTCCTTTTAAAAACAGGAGCACAACTGGGGAACAAGGACAGAGGTTCATTGTCCTATAACAGGAAGCGCCTAAACAAGGACAAAGTGTGGTATGAAACAGCCCAACGCATTTCAGGGTCAAAAACCGCTTGATCAGGAGCAAACATGGGCAAAACTAAAACGCTGTGTACATGAATGAGTTGATCATCTCAGAATCTGTGGCATCCATCAGTCCAACCAGTAGCGCGGCCGGCCAGTATTGCTGGGAGTCCGCCTTATATGTCCACCGCCGCCGGCTTGCTCACCCCCAACAGTGAGGTCAGGCGTGACGCTCCGGCGGCAGGGAGGTTGAGTGCGCATGCACCAGGGTGCATGCATGCGTGCGCGCACATCAAGTGGGTCGCAGCCTCGGCAACCCAACAGATGAATCCTGCCAATCCTCCCTCCCACTATCAACCCAATGGCCCCCCCAACCAAAACCAAAGGGGGCGGATGAGGAGGGAGGAAAAAGCCAAAAGATCTCGGGCACAAGGGGGAGCGGATACCTGGGACGGGTCACAACATATACCTCCAGCACCCGTCTATTCATGCAGCTAGCACCGGCATCTGAATTCTTTAATGATAGTACATATAGTATAAATGCAGGCAGCAGGTTAAACAAAACATAGCTACACTTAATTGTAGGTCTGCTTCTGATAACAATATATACATTAAAGACAAAGCATGTTATATTCCATGGTGATATCATAGGAATACCAGGAGGAATAATATAATCAGCATGTAAATTAGATTCCACCGCACCCAGGTCAGGGCATAAGTATAGACAGAGCTTTATAGGTGACTCATGAACAATGCGGTTAGACATA